CCCAAATCCCCCACCACAGTGATCTTCCACCACACAGTGCCTGGCAGGCACAGTGCTGTTAGTCCTCTTGCTACTACCAGCACCCTCACAGCCTCCCTGAGAGCAGTTCTGACTTCCAATTCTGTTTGGAATTCTGAAATTTATATTTCAAAATAATTAAATTCACTCCTTACAAATTTCTGCAAAGTTTCCCCAAGAAACTAAGATTTTTCCCCAAGGGCCTAAGGACCAACCCCAAGGTTCTTTAAAGAACCATTAGACCTATAAAAATAGTAAAATAGATCTGCTTAAAGAATTGGAGATAAAGACGTGGCATGCTGCTATTAATAAGTAAATTATTTATTTAATATGTTATTAAAGAACCTTTGATCCATGTGAAATAGAAGTTCTCCAATCCTGCCAGGGTCAATAACACCTTCTCGGGTATTCTGCTGAGTAAGGGCTGCTCATGCAAGTAGAAACTGTTTCAGGGAAGCATAACATAGGCATTCAACTCTTCTAACTCTCCTAACTTGGAAGGTCAAAGATGTACCCCCCTGATGAGCACAGCTGGCAAACTGGTAACAATGGACAAGAAGGCTGAGGTATTCAACAACTTTTTTGCCTCAGTCTTCACTGACAACCTCACACCTCCACACCCCTTGAGCAGATGGACCACAAGGCAGGGATTAGGGGAGCAAAGTCTGTCCCACTGTAAGAAAATCAGCTTTGTGACCACCTGAGGAACATGAATGTATGTATAACTATAGGACCTGACAAAATGCATCCCAGAGTCCTAAGGAAATTGACTGATGTGGTTGCCAAGCCACTCTCCATGATATTTGAAAAGTTACAGCACTCAGGTGAAGTCTCTGGTGATTGGAAAAAGGGAAACATTGCACCCATTTTTAAAGGAGGCCCCCAGGAACTACTAACCTGTCAGCCTCACCTCTGTGCCTGGGAGGATCATGGAAGAGATCCTCCCAGAAGCTATGCTAAGACACATGGATGATAGGGAGGTGATTGGGGACAGCCAGCATGGCTTCAGCATGGGCAAGTCCTGCCTGACCAACCTAGTGGCCTTCTATGATGGAGTGACTACCTCAGTGGACAAGGGAAGAGCTACAGATGTTGTCTCTCTGGACTTTTGTAAGGCCCTTGACACAGTCCCCACAACATCCTTCTCTCTAAATTGGAGAAATATGGATTTGATGGATGGACTGTTTGGTGGATAAGGAATTGGTTGGATGGTCACATCCAGAGGGTAGTGGTCAACAGCTCAATGTCCAGGTGGAGACTGGTGACAAGTGGTGTCCCTCAGGGGTCCGTACTGGGACCAGTACTGTTTAATATCTTCACCAATGACATAGAGGCATTAAGTGCACCCCCAGCAAGTTTGCAGATGACACCAAGCTGAGTGGTGTTGTTGATATGCCTGAGGGACGGGATGCCATCTGGAGGGACCTGGACAAGCTCAAGAAGTGGGCCTTTGTGAACCTCATGAAGTTCAACAAGGCCAAGTGGAAGGTCCTGCAGCTGGGGCAGGGCAATCCTCCTATCAATACAGGCTGGTGGATAAAGCGATTGAGAGTAGCCCTGCCAAGAAAGACTTTGTGCTAGTGGATGAAAAGCTGGACATGAGCCAGCAATGTGCCCTTGCAACCCAGAAGACAAACTGTATCCTGGGATGCATCAAAAGAAGTGTGGCCAGCAGGTTGAGAGAGGTGATTCTCCCCCACTATTCTGCTCTCATGAGATCACACCTGGAGTGCTGTGTCCAGCTCTGGAGCCCTCAGTACAGGAAAGATGTGAACCTATTGGAGTGAGTCCTGAGGAGGGCCACAGAAATGATCAGAGGGATGGAACAGCTCTCCTATGAAGAAAGGCTGCGAGATTTGGGTTTGTTTAGCCTGGAAAAGAGAAGGCTCCAGGAAGACCTTATTTAGGTATTCAGTATTTAAAGGAGCCTATAAGAAAGATGGGGACAAATATTTTAGCACAGCCTCTTGCAATAGGACAAGGGGTAATGGTTTTAAACTAACAGAGAATAGATGTAGACTTGATATAAGGAAGAAATTTTTTATGATGAGGGTGTGAAACACTAGGACAGGTTGCTCATAGAGGTTGTAGATGCCCCATCCCTGGAAACATTCAAGGTCAGGTTGGACCTCTGAGCAACCTGACCTAGTTGAAGATGTCCCTACTCACTGCAGGAGCGTTGGGCTAGATGACCTTTAGTCACTTCCAATCCAAACTGTTCTATGGTTCTAACAGCAGGGAGAGGATGTTGGAGGAGATAATGGGTGAAATACGGTCATTTGACCCAAGCATTTATTTTTTGAGATTTACTGTCCCACCTTTAAATAGTCAGAAGTTTTGCCATTTTCCTGAAATGCTCTCCATATTCTAGAAATAACAATGCTATTTTTGACCAAAGCAAATGTCTAACATTTTTGTCATTACTTTTTAATAAATAAATAATGGATACAGGTGCAAAAGAAACATATAAATATGCAGAGTTTGGAGGAGGAAGAGAACAGTTAGGCTGCTTGCTGTAAGTTGGTCAGGGTGGATGATGGAAAGCCAACAGGCTTTAAATTCTATTTTAAGTTTTACTGCATACAAAGGAACATTAAAAATTGAGCATTTAAAAGTTAGGAAATGCTTTATTTATGGTTGTTGTGGCATACTTAATTTATCCTTGCATGCTAACATTCTGCATGCTAAATGAGTTAAAAGTCCTATGAAAAAGATTATATGGGATGTTGTAGTTGCTGAGTATATCATGTTGCACACTTGATACAATATAATTAAGGACCTGCATTTCTTATTTATTGGGAGACATGCTTTTAAACAAAATGGTATATTTAAAAGTATTGAGTGGCTTCAATGTTATTTAGATAATATTACTCACAATTTGCATGTGAAGGCCTCTGATTTTGAAAAGGAAACACCAAATTTTTATATGGTTGTCTGCAACATTTCTTTGTAGCTTCTTATTGTATGCTGAACTTTAGCCCTTGAAAACTGAACTACATGTCAGCTATTAAGCATGAGCCTTCAAATCTATTTTCCTCAGAAATAACAGTCACTGTTAGGGTAAAAGAGTCCAGTTTTCTACCAAAGCACAGAGATTTCCTCTTCCTTGTGGGTATTACAGGCATAATGTCTGAGGAACAAAGGCATGATTACTCAGGGAGACCCACGTGTCTTGCCCTGTCTGCGACTGTTCCTGCATGTGGGGTGGTGGGCAGGGGGCTGCTGCTGGTGGGCAGTGCATGGCACAGTACTACCATGTCTGATGGTTATTTCTGAAGCAGTCTCCTGATGTGGATGAATAAAATAAAAATACATTTTTCCAAAATTTATCCCCCTGTAAAATTTGAACTTTCCTGGGGCAGACATGAAACTCTGTCCTAGCTGGAAAGTGTTTCCTCTGGAAAGTGTAGTGCTAGAAACAATGGAGGAATTAGGATTTCTCAGGGGAAGAAAACAGAAAAGCCACAGTCTTTGAGAATTAGAAGTATTAGATACTGTAATATAGAGTGTTGCTGCCAGCTCTGCCTGTATGCCGTGAGTAGTAGTAAGCTTGACACAGATGTTAACATAATAAAGAGTATTAAGGCTGGTATTTTTTTTCAGAGTGAGCCAGGCTCTTTCCAGTGGTGCCCAGTGACAGGACATGAGGCAATGGGCACAAACTGAAACATGGGAGGTTCCCTCTGGACATGAGGAAACAGTTCTTCACTATGAGGGTGACCAAGCACTGGCACAGGTTGCCCAGAGAAGCTGTGGAGTCTCCAACCTTGGAGATATTGAAAAGCTGTCTGGGTACAGTCCTGGGCAGACTGCTTTCAGCGGCCCTGCTTGAGCAGAGAGGTTGGACCTGTTAATTACAGAGGGCCCTTCCAAGCTCCGACATTCTGTGATTCTGTAATTATTAGTATTTTTTCTAATCAGAAGTTATTTTCCAGATCTTGGAAATGAACTGCGCTTGTTCTAATCAAAGGGAACATACTCAAAGGAGTATGACACTACAAAATGGGCAAGGATATGTATAGAAACTTAGCCAATGAACCATGAATCCTTATTTTAATACCAGTTCCTGTTTATCACAGTCCTTCTTTGAAGGTAACATCAGGAAAAAAGGAGTGGGCCAGGATGCCATCTTAAATACAAGATTAATCTTTATAGGAGAATGATTTCTGTGTCCAGGTACAGGCTGATGGGAAACTAAGACAGGTAGTCTGGTAGAGGGGTAAGGGGAAGCTGTGTAATGCCTTCAGCTTTTGAAAGCTCCAGTTCAGGCAGTGATATCTACTGAGGATGCCAATCATGTCTGATAAAGGCACATTGGTTGGATCAGGCTCAAGGGTGATACTATCATTTCCTCCATCTAGAATTAATCTCTTTCCATATGATGAGCAAAGGAATAACTAAACTTGAACCCATTTTTAAACTGGCTAGTCAGAGCCTGTTTTTTCTCTGGTGAACCAACTTATTGTCAAAAATAAGTGTGAAAAATACTCTCCTTTGAGAAATCAATCACAATTTACACATAGAGTTCAGAACCTTATTTTGCCAATACAGCTTTTTAATCCTCAAGTTTCCATTTTAGATTTAAGACTAATTAGAACTAGTTGGAAAATAAGTTGGGAGATTGGGTTTTTGAAATTGTTTTCTCATTTTCATCAGTTTTTTCTTGACAAATTACATAACCTTTTTGACAAGCCCAAAAATTAATAGTTAAAACCCTTGCAGCTAGGAGAAACCCAGTAGATGAGAAGAAAATTAACATGACATAAAGCTGAAGGAAAGAAGAATATCTTTTTAGTGTGTCTCTCAATATAATTAGTTCTGTTTTTTAATGTTTGAAGGATTTCAAATATTTCAAATAAGCCTGAACAGGAAGTGTAATGATACCCATTATGTTTCCTCAGTTAATAAGAAAAGGTAGGACATAATTTAAGCATGAAATTGCAAGATGGAATTTACTTCCTATCTCTGAATTTCACTTGCAGGCCCTGGAAAGCGAGTTTGTATCATGTCAACTTCATCAGTGGATTGACCTTATATTTGGCTACAAGCAACGAGGACCAGAAGCAGTGCGTGCACTCAATGTTTTCCACTACCTAACATATGAAGGCTCTGTGAACCTGGACAGTATCACTGATCCTGTCCTCAGGGAGGTAGGTGTTTACTGCCATTTCATTCTAAAAAGTGCTGTCATCTCACAAGAAATGGTATTTTTTCCATCTTTCATTGCTGGAGAAAATTGTTGTGTGCGACTTGATTCAGAACTTGGGCCCTAGGTGACTTCAGAAGCAAGGATTAATAAACTAGCAATAAAACAGATGTCCCAAAGTATTTTGTTTGCTTGGAGTTACTAATATATGAATGGTCAGTTATGATGTAGGAAATTATAATGTAATATATATTCTGTAATATATATTCTGCTACTTTTTCTGATTTACTTTTATTAAATTCACTTAGTAGAACTGAAAAGCTGAAAGGAAAAAACTGCATCATAGTCATAGGGAAAAAATGTAACCTTTCCAGTCAGATAATGTTGATGAGAATATGCATCTGAAAAAATAATATATTTGCTAGAGTGACAGTAGCAAATATTCAGATTACTTTTGCACATAATCATGTAAAGTATAATCAAACTCTTACCAAAATAAAAAATGCTATTTTTTCATAGAAGTATTTATGTTTGTATATATGTATGTGTGAAATATATATATGCACATATACACAAGTGAGTGTTTTAAATTAATCAGTACATTTTTTAAAAAATTGTACTGGCTATCCTGATAAATGTTTCCTTCCAGTGTCTGTATTTGTTAGTATATATTAATTATTAGACTATATTAATAATTAGACTATTAATTTGAATGATCATTTTCTAATATCATCTATTTGTTGGCTAAAACAATTGAAATTTGGTGAAAAGTGTAAAGAAGCAACAGCTGCTAGATGAGTACCGCTGTGATGAAGCTGTACACACAATCTTCCATTCCCCCAGATAGCTGCCATCTGCTGTATGCAAAACAGTAATAATTTATACATTGCCAGGCGCTGAGGTTTTGTTTGTTTGTTTTCCAATCTTGGAGATAGAAATCTACAGATTTCAGAAAGAAATAGATTCTAGAAAGCGTTCGCATTCAGCTCTATATTGGGTTTTGGCATATTTTTTAGAAGTGTGTTGTTGCATCTTGTTACATTTGGTGCTTTTTGAGGAGCAGAACTGAAAAAACATTGAGACCTCTAGCTTCCTAGAGCTGGATTTTCACACCATGCACTGCAAAGCTTATATTTAGTAAACAGTGTTTGCTTAGTTTTAAGAATAGGCAGGATTTCTTTGGTTGCGCTGCCTCAAATATTTAATGTTAACATCTACATAATATTTTTCTGGGTTTAAAGCTTTGAGAAGAGTCAGTAAAGTACAAAAGTGGAGATATGAAGGAGCAATGCTTTTTAAAGTTTAAAACAGGTGTCAAGCACCATGAATACAAGGGATTTGCATGGTTTAAGGTCCTGATTTGCATGGGCAGACTCCTATGTCTTGACTTTAAGGATCTACTCCCACAGGGCAGCTTGTAGGATTGAGGTCTATCTGTCTGTCTGTGCACCTTATTTAACATCTTATGACATGATGAGACTCCTCAGCTCTCCTGTGGCTCTACTTACATGCATAACGTCATCAGAAATTTCAAGAAATTCATGGAGATGTTTTTGTTCACTCATACATCTAACCTATGTCCTGTCAGTCAATAACATATATACCTCTTAGGCTATTTATGCTGTGTAAACTTCTAAAAGCACACTTCTATCTTAATTGCCACAAATTAAATGAGTAAATAAATTTTATTGTTAGCAATGAGAAGGCAAAATGTCTAGAAAAATGAATCCCAATTTTTGTTATATATAGATACATAAAGTTGAATGCATCCATTTAAAAACAGTATGCTTTCTCCTCTAAGAGATCTCAGTCACTGGTGGTTTGTTATAAAAAGGTTAAAAATAATTTATATTTATTTTTAATCAGACATTACATGTGTAAATATAGACAGATTTAGAGCCTTATTCTGTTTCCCTGAGCTCTATTTATGAAACTAGCAGACCTTCTCTGGCCAGTAATAAAGCATTTGACATCTTGATGATCTAGTATGTCAGGTATTTGGATATCATGTTTCTGTTTCAAGTATATATGTTCTATATACACTGGGGTTTTGGTTTTGGGTTTTTTTTCACTTTATTCGGGCTTTCACTAGATATTCCAGAAAATAAATTAAAATCAAAAAGATCTTTTAAAAGCCTCTGAAGACCACTTATAAATACAGAAATGTAAGGATGGGAACGCTAGCACCTTTAGAAATAGTGATAACAGTTGTTTAATATGTTTTACAGCAGCAGGTGGTCGTGTCTGGCATCGTAACTTAGAAACACTGCAATTTAAAATTAATTGAGCTTTGCAGTTATCCAGGAAAATGCATCTCTCAGTATTAGTTTCTGAATAAACCAAAACATTTTTGTTCTGTGACACAGAAGACAGTGAACATTCTCCATAAATGGCTGTAAATAAGCCAGTCAATATAACCTTATTGGCAGTGGCCGTTATCAGACCAATGGGCTCAAATATGGCAGTGGTCTCCTGAAACTGTGGCTGTAACTATTGAGCTGAGTCCCAGCGCAACCTGTCCATTGAAATAAGGCTCCAAATTAAAAAACCCTGCCATTTAGGTCTGAGCTGACTGAAAGACATCATTTGTGAAGGCAAATCCCCATGATCTGTTCATGCTATACCTTGGCCCTTTCACCCTTTGCCTGAGCACCTCACAACCACAGAGGAATATATTGTTCTTAGTTTTCTGTGAAGAATGGTAAAGGAATCACTTCAGTAGCCTTCTAGCTGGAGCAAAAATATATTCAATGATGGGATAACTCACCCCTGCCATTCCTTACATCTTTCTCACATGCATGGGGGAGCCCTCTAAGAACTCTCTACTGTTTAACACTGGGAAAATGGACAACCTGTGCTTTTGTTCTGTTTGGATCTATTTAGTAGAAGACTCTCCATCTGACTTGCTTTCTTAATTTTCTATTTTGCAAATTCACAGTGGGTGAAACCACAATGCTGGGACAGCATTAAGTTTTAGTTTACTAAAGTCTACGAAATCACATATATCTGCCCCTGTAATAACTCTTCGGCAATTTAAGATCTGCATTGGATGAGTAAAATATACTTGTTTCACTTAAACATACTGATTTTGGTATTTCAAACAACTTTGTAATGTTCTGATACCACAAAAATTACTTGATCACTATAATTTCTTTCAAGTAGTGATGAGGGCAACATGAAAGTGCTGGCTTAAATGCTCCACAGAACATATAAAATTAAATTTTGTTTTAGATCTTTTATGATTAGAAATTAGAAAATTCTCCAGTTCTATAAGTTCTAATGCTCTCTCCTATTGTGCACATTGAAAAGTTGTTTTCATTTTGTAATAAGAAGAAAAAAAATGTGTAACAAATATTTTTCAAGACCCAAATTGTAAGTAAAAGCAGTGAGGTGAAAGCTAAAACTTGAAGAATAGCTTAAGGATATTGATTCATTCTTACTTGACAGGTGAAATCATGGTTGCAGCACTAACCACAGCAATTACAGCATTAAAATGTCAAGAAATTAGAGGTCAGAATAACAGATAATTTTCTTCCTTTTGTCAGATTAAAAATTGACATTCTTTGACAGCACAGGATCTCTGGCTGAGAGAATTATGACAGCTTAACTCATCTTGTACTTGTAAAGCAGTAATTGATAATGAACTTTACCATGACAGTCTTCTCCTGTGGAGAAACATGACAGAACATCCCTGGTACAATGCCTGTATCTCTTTTTAATATGTAAACAGTAGTTATATTGGACATTAGATGTTATTTGGAATTGTCTTTACTTTTAGTTTACATCATAATCCAAATCCTTTCCACTGGACAGATTTTGCTGACTTCAGGGGTTGATGCTGAGAATGCTAAAGAACAATATCAGAAGTGTAGTTTATTTATGGTGCTTTGATGTTATTGCTTCACTTCTTTAGGAAAATGTAGTTCATTCCTTGGTTTCTCCCCAAGTGTCTATAGATTTTAGGAGACTCATTTTTCCCAAACACCTGGAAATCTGGACACTCAAAAATCCATAGAGTTGTGTTTTTTTCAAGTGAGGAACTTGTTTCTGTATGACACAAAGTGTTGTGGCTGAAAGGGAACTGCGTAGTTATACTGGTCATTAGAAAATGCAACAGAAGAGCTGAAATGATTTTCAGTACTGTCTTGTAGATTAACTAGTTGAGTGGGCAGTTAGTGCACATGTAGTACTGAAAGCACATCTAGTATGAAGAAAAGTACTATTTCATATTTTCTGTTTATTTGTTTAAAATCATAGCCAGATCTCTATTTACCTTTTTTTTTTTTTTTTTTTTTTTTTTTTTTTTTTAGACCTTCAGCTTGTTTGTGATTAGAAATGTTTTGAAAAATCAATTGAAACATTATGTTACACAGCTATTGGTTTGCACTAGACTTTAGACTGACTTTGTGTCATATTTGTGTTCTGTGTGAGTTGCAAATACAGCTTAGCAGTGCAGTAGAGTGACTTTCCTGTGACTGCTGCATCTTCACCAAATGCTTGCAACCCCCCAGTCCAAAAGGAATTGCAAGTGTGTAGGAAAGCCAGGCAGTGTGAAGCTATTGGGCTCAGATATTTGTTCCAAGCAGCCACCTGTCAAAATACCTGAGCATACTTGCAACTCACAGTAAATTGAAAAATGATTAAAATTGCGAGTGTTTGACAGGCAGTTGCTGCACCCGTAAACTAATCCTAGTAGGACAGTTTTGCTGGCAGCTAACAGAGCATATGGCCTATGCAATATTTATTTCTTTGGTGGTGACTTGATATTTAGCATATTTAAATAATTTGAAAAGTCATAATGATGTGGTAGACTTGCAGTGCTTTTCAGTTACCCTCATTTCTGAGTTTTATTTTTCCTCTTATATTTTCTTCTGTTATCTCTTTCTTTGATCTGACAGGAATAACAAAGCATCCCTCTGGATCTGCTATAGTGAAATATGCCCACAGGAAGCAAAGTAGATCACATCAGTTTTCACTTCTTTTTTTTTTTTTTTTTTTTTTTTT